TTAAACTGCATTTAGTACTAAACTACCTAGACACTGTAGTGCCACTTAGTAACTCTGTTCCTTCATTTTATGAGTATTTGCATAAATCTGTGTATTGCTTCATGAATAGAACTAACAATAGTGTTTACTGTCTGGTATCTTTGTCAAAGTTAATGCTCTGTTTAACTCTAAGATGAGTCTTACGTGGAATGAGTTGCTCGGGGGCTAACTTTCTTAAATACAGTAATTATTTAAATCACCTTTGGTGCCAGGGTGCCGCGTTTTGGGCACGAGGGCTGTGGAATTAGATTTTGATTGCTACCCCGGGATGTTTAGATTTTGTCTTTGTCTAGTTGATTTTGAATATTGTGCCTGTGTGCTATATCAGATTGTTTTTTTTTTCCCTACTTTTTCTAGGTTTTTTTGATAACCAACAACTGTATTATTCAATGGATTCTTCAGCTAACTAAGGACTGCATTTATTTAATTGATGCTTTTGTTAATCATCAACTACCTTATTCAATTGATGCTTCAGATATGACACTGACACTCTTATTATTTCAAATGATACAAAAGCATACTATTTGGTATATGGAAAACTGTGCAGCTGAATTGAAGTACACCCTCTTTACAGTATTCAGGCACAAAGGCATTTTGAGACGTTACAACATTGCATCCAGTAGTAAACATTAGTCTATTGGTACATTGTAGTAATGCCCCTACTTTGCCTATTTTCATCAGTTGATCCGAGATGAAGAATCACATCCTGAACTCTTGTGAGTACTGGAAGCAAAGCAAAGTTCATTGTCGGTTTTTGGTATTTATTGGCTATTTATTAACTACATAATTATTTTTGTTACTTGGAGAGGAACATGATCTAATTTAGTTTAAAAAATACTTGACAGCTTGAGTAAAAATTGAAGATTGACATCATTAGAAGTACTGTAATGGCTTACTAAGTCACAATAAACAAGATGACTTAGTTTTAACAACAATAACAATCTAATCATCATTTTTATATTTTTACAAAAAGTTATAATTAATGATAATTAGAGTAATTTTAATATTGATTTAGCACATTTTGCTAAAAGTTTCTGTGCACTTTATTATTACAAATAAAAAATCTGGAATTAAGCAAACTACAGTTGTGGTTGTTGAGTCAATAAATCAAACAAACAAGAATGCAGCAGAGATTTTGGAGTTCTGTTTAATGCGTCTTAAAAACTTCGGAACTGATGACAGAATATCAACGTATACTCTTATCCTTAGTTCAAGTTTAAGCGCAACCACACATCTGTGACAGTTGACACTGATACAAGTGACGATTAACTGTCAATCAATCAAAATTAAACTCATCTAATAAGGTATATCAGATATAACATACGGTAATAAATAGTGATGAACATTAACATAATGACGTTCCATGCAAAGTACAGCCTGTACCGTATACCGGTATGTTCTAAATATCAAAGAACTTGACAATTATTAAAGGATGGTTGACTACATTATATTATTAAATTTACCAACTTTCAATCTAGAAAATGAAGTTTATTTACCGTACAGTTGATCCCTAATCTCTGTGCAACTCAACAGCTACATTGAACATCTATGTAGTCATAGCATTTTAACTGTCTCTTATACACATCTAGATGTGTATAAGAGACAGCGTGAAGGCCGAGCACTCACATAAATGCTCCTATAAACATAGCAATAATAGGTTTAGAACTATCCGAAATACATCCTTAATATACTGCTTAATGAAATGACACATGAATCATCCTTACTATATCTCTAAGCATACCGAGAAAACCCTCTGAAGCACAATTATACTTGTTACTTAAAACATCAAAGTATAGCCTGACGTTTAACAGCCATATTGTGTAAAACTTTCTTACACGGCTAAACTAGAGAGGGCGACAGACGTAAATAATATTAGGAAGTGAACTTGGCATTAACACTCCCACCCCAATTGCGAATCTAAGCAATAAAACAACATATGACAAATTCACTTCAAATGCTAAGTCCTAATTGTTTTCCACCAGAATACACAGTTTAGACACCGGTCTCTCCAGTAGCGCTGATTGCGTCCTCACCATACACGATCGAACATCTCCTTTCTTATCTTGGAATACTGTCTCTACGACAGCCATTACCCAATGGTTCCTAGGAGCTGATGAGTCAACAATCAATACTCTGTCACCAGCTGTTACATTTCTCCTCTGGCGCTGCCATTTCACTCTCTGTTGGAGGGTTACCAAATACTATTTCCTCCATCTAGACAAGAAGACATCCACCAAGTGCTGTACATGTCTCCAACGTTTCCTGGCATATGCATCCTTACTCACAAAAACTCCTGGTGAATGGATAACTCTTCCTCTGGGGTTTATCAGCATATTGGGAGTTAAAGGCAACATATCCCCTGGATCCGTAGATGTCGTTGTCAAAGGTCGACTGTTGAGTATACCCTCCGCTTCGCAAAAGAAGGTTACTAGCGCTTCATCATCAAGTAAACGTGCTTCATCTCTCATGATGCTGTATAGGATCTTCCTAGTTGACCTAAACATCCTCTCCCACACTCCACCAAAATGGGATGCTGTTGATGGGTTAAAGATCCAATCAATCCCAACATTATTGAGTACACCCTTCATCTTGGCTTGATCAATCTTCTTCCACATCTCTCTCAATTCCTTCTCCGCGCCAACCAGATTGGTTCCATTGTCGGATGTAATGGTAACCACAGGTCCTCTTCTTGCCATAAATCTTCTGATTGAATTAATGCATGAATCAGTGTCCAGGCTATGCGCTACCTCAAGATGGACGGCTCGAGACGACAGGCAGGTAAAAATTACTCCGTATCGTTTGACCTCTGATCTGCCTCTCTTCACCATCAGCGGACCAAAATAGTCCACGCCAACATGTTCAAAAGGTGCTCCATCTGCCTGGACTCTATTAGAAGGCAAATCGGCCATCACTTGTTCACATGGCTTAAGCTGGTAACGCTTGCATCTGACACATTTTCTGGCGACCTTCGTTGCTATCCCATTCGCTCCAAAGAGCCAGTACCGCTCTGTGAGTCTTGCCAGAAGAATGGTATTCTTCCAGAGATGACCAACATCTTTATGAATCTCTCTCACGATCATCTCTGCCACACTTGAATTCTTGGGAAGGAACACAGGATGCTTTGCCTCATACGCTACGTCTGCCTTGCTTATTCTTCCTCCAACTCTTGCCAATCCACCCTCACCTATTATAGGGTTGAATTTGAACAATACGCTGGTCTTGCTCACAGTATTTCCAGCCTCAAGCTCCTTAATCTCTCTTTCAAAGGCACTAGATTGCACTTCCTTCAAAATAAAATCCTCGGCTCTGTTTAATAACTCTACTGTCAGTTGCCCAGGATCTTGTACAACGCAACTTCTGCCGGCAACAACCCCTGCGTTCTGTCGAATCTTGGTCAAGAACTTCTGTTTAGCAATCAAAACCCAAGCCATCACTCTTTTCATCTTCTTCCAATTTGAGATTTTGGACACCAACATGTCAACCACTGACTTATCTCCAGCCTCTACTATGGTGCAGCTTGATTTCATTTCCACATCCACCACGTCTAAGTCTATTAACACATATCTCGGCCACTCTGATTCTGATCGCCACAAGAAATCTGGTCCCTTGAACCAGATGCCATTTATCAAGTCTTGTGTTCTCTTAACGCCTCTGGAAGTCATATCTGCTGGATTCTCCCTTGTGCTCACATGATGCCACTGGGATAGACTGGTTGATTCTCTGATAAGTTGTACCCGATTGGCTACAAACGTCAGATACCTTGCTTGCACATTGGCGATATATCTCAGAACGGCAGTGCTGTCGGTCCAATACATGGTTCTCACTATGTCAAAGTCCAGTTCTCTTGTCACTACATGCACCATCTTGACTGCCAGAGTGGCTGCCGTCAATTCCAATCTGGGTATGGTTACCTTTTTCAGAGGTACCACTCTGGCTTTCGAGGACACAAGGGATACATGCACTTCTCCTCTCTCATTTGTGGATCTGAGATATATAACAACCCCATAACCCACCTCACTAGCATCACTGAATGCATGTAATTCTCTACTTGCCACCTTTCCATATCCTCCTGGAACATAACACCTATCAATTTTAACTTATTGTATGTCCTTTATGTTCTGGGTCCACTGTTTCCATTTATGTAAGGTGGTGTTATCTGGTTTGTCATCCCATCCAGCCTTCTTCTTACAAATCTCCTGCAAAAGCATTTTTGCTGGTATGATCAGGGGTGAGATAAATCCAAGAGGATCATAAACTGAACTAATAATTGATAGCATGGCTCTTCGGGTTGCTTCAGTCTCCGTTAGCAAACTTCGAAACTGGAATTCATCAACTTCTGGACTCCAAAGGATGCCTAACGTTCTTTCCATTGGTAGTGGTGAGGCATCTAAATCCAAATCCCTCAGTTCCTTTGCTCGCTCTTCGACAGGTATATTTACCAACACTTCTCGACGATTACTCGTCCATTTTGTGAGATTGAAGCCTCCTTCATTACACAAGGTTTTCAATTCATTAACCAAATTCTTGGCTTCTTCTATGGTTTCTACGGATTTCAATACGTCATCCATATAGAAATTCCGTTTTACCGTTTCTACAGCCTTTATGCTAACCTCACACTTGTTGTCTGTTGCGGTTTTCTGCAACCCATAATTGGCACACGATGGCGAAGATCCAGCACCGAACAGGTGTACTGTCATTCTGAATATCTTGGGTTGATGACTGAAGTCCCCTTTGGTCCACCACAAAAACCTCAGCAAGTCCCTCTGTTCTGCTGGCACCTTTACTTGATAGAACATAGTCTCGATGTCTCCTGAGATTGCCACTGAATATTGACGGAAGTGCATTAAAACCCCCTGTAGGCTGTTCATAAGATTAGGACCCGGTAGCAGTACGTCATTCAGGGAAATTCCCATAAACTTTGCCGCACAGTCAAATACCACCCTAATTTTCCTTTTCTGAGGGTGATACACCCCATGGTGAGGAATATACCACGATTGGCCCCCCTTGTATTGTCGCCATTAGATACTTCTTCCGAGTAGCCCTTACCAATTATATCTTCCATAAAGGCGATGTAGTCTTCTTTGAACTGTGGATTCTTCTCCATCTTCTTCTGTAGTCCCCGTAGTCGATTACTCACCATTTGCAAGTTGTCCGGAAGCTGGACTGCTGGATTCCTTAATGGCAAGTCTACTTGATAATGACCTTCGACAATCTTACAGGAATTTTCCATAATTCTCATAAATTCCCTGTCTTCAGTCGACCACTCCCTCTTGTCGTCTATACATCTCTCAGGAAAGTCATAATTTAGACTTTCAATGTAAATCTTCTCCAAGTTGGTACAATGACTTGCACTTAGAACTCCAGGTTTCATAACTCCCCACGCTACCCATCCTAAAGGAGTCTTGATAGCATAGGGACTGCCTTGTGGTCCAGTCCTCACTTCTCTTGGGGCATATGCTGCTGGTACATTGTTTCCAATCAGGATATCAATGCTGGCATCTATCTTCGGCAGCTCAATTCCTCTTAAGTGTTTCCAGCTTTCCACGTCTTCTCTTGATGGGATTTGCCAATTCTGCACTGGTAGACTGGGCTTAGTGTATACAATTGGGAGTTCTACTTCCATATTTTCCTCACCATGAAGTGCTGACACTATTAATCCCTTAATCGACTTGGAGTTCATTTCTACCTGGTTACCCATGGTGTTTAACTTCAGCTTGATCGGATTCCCAGATGCTTGCAGTAAGTCAGCCAATTCCTCAGTGCAGAACGACACATTACTGCCCGAATCCAAAAAAGCGTTGCACTGTACTGTGTTAGAACCCATTTAACTTGGACTGGTACAATTGGTAAGGTGCATCCGCCAACTGTAAGTGCATTCGATGAAACTGTTTCTGCAATGGCTGTATTAGTCTTTGATTTCGGACTTGTGGTGGATGTTTCTGCTTTGCCACTAAAATCATGAAGCATTGAGTGGTGCCTCCTCTTACACACCTGGCATCTCACGGTGTGTTTGCATCTAAAGGACATGTGCCCTGGGCGCAAACAGTTGAAACAAATTCTCTTGCTACTCAAGAGTTGTCTTCTTTCATTTAGACTTGCACCCTTCAGCTTCTTGCAGTCTTCTATCTGATGAGTACCACCACAAAACATACATCCCCTATCAATTTCGTTTGTGTTAGACACTGCGGCTGACATCTTTGGGGCTGGATATCTTTGGTCTTTCTTCTTTCCACTACTTATTATATCCTTTCTCCAGACAGGATCATTCACTTTCTCTGCCTCTAATGCTATAAAGTCTACTAGATTTGAGAACTTTACTGTTTTTCTTTGCCGCTTCAAATGGAAAACGATTTTCCTCTACCGGTCATGCATGAAGTTGGGAAGCTTCTGTAATATTTTCTTTAAATTCTCAGAATATTCCAGCACACCCATACCTCCAATAGTTTGTGTTGCTGCTCTGCATTCCTTCAAAAAGACAGCAAAGGCATCAAGGCCCTTGGGATCATCAGCTCTAATATATTCCCAAGACAAAACCTTTTTTATGTACTCGTTTGCCATGGCGTCTACGTCACCGTATTTCCTTTTCAATTCTTCTATCGCCGCAGGGTAGCCCACATCAGCGTCTAAGAAGGAGTACCCAACAACTATTTTATTTGCTTCTCCGATCGTATACTGTTCTAGATATGCCATTTTTTCGTCGTTGGAACAGATCCCTTCGATTTTGAATTTAAATTGCCTCATGAATCTTTTGAACTGTAGACGGTTCCCTTCGAATTTCCTTATTTCTAACTTTGGCTTTCGCAGTTCCATCAGCACCTCTAGAAGGTGTTTTGAGGATGCAGTGGGGAACGTAGTTTGTTTAACATTGCCAGGTGATTCTTCCTCTCTGGAATGTCGACTGCTTATGGATCTTTGAGTGTCTACCTCTTCTCCATCTAAATTTTGGCTATTATTTTCTTCTTCCTCGATCTCCTCCAGGAGATGTTCCCGGGCTTCTGCTTTAGCCATTTCATTTGCTATGGCACTTCTTTCCTTTTCCTGTTGAAGTTCAATTTCCAACAGTTTCAGTTTCTTCTCACTTTCCTGCTGATCTCGGAGAAGTTCACTCTGCTTCTTCAGCTCTGACAGTCGTTTGGCCTCCGCAATTCTTCTTGCTGAGGATCCTTGACTAGCACGAGAAGACTTCGATGCTCGTGACATAGTTGTAGTCTGGACCTCTGTTCTAGTCAGAAACCATTGTTCGGCCTCTGATTTTCTCTTTTCTATAAACAATGTCTTCTTTTTGTACCATTTCTCAATGTGCTCTTCCAAGGCTTCTGCACTGAGTGTACCACAGTACACATCATTGGCCTGTAGAAAACTTTCATACAAATTCATCCATATTTTATGCCGTGTTTGGGTTTCTTTAACAGGCGGGTTTTCCTTCATAAACATTCTCAAGTCATCTGATTCCTTGCGGAGGTTCCTCCATGCTATTCCAAGTTCTTTGAATTTTGCTTCTTGTTGCAACTCTGCACCCTTTTCAGTGGGTCGTCTTTCTCTTGTGGCCATCTTAGTGGGCAGAACTTTCCTCAAATCTTGTACGTTAATGATGTGGTTGTTGAGTCAATAAATCAAACAAACAAGAATGCAGCAGAGATTTTGGAGTTCTGTTTAATGCGTCTTATAAACTTCGGAACTGATGACAGAATATCAACGTATACTCTTATCCTTAGTTCAAGTTTAAGCGCACCCACACATCTGTGACAGTTGACACTGATACAAGTGACGATTAACTGTAAATCAATCAAAATTAAACTCATCTAATAAGGTATATCAGATATAACATACGGTAATAAATAGTGATGAACATTAACATAATGACGTTCCATGCAAAGTACAGCCTGTACCGTATACCGGTATGTTCTAAATATCAAAGAACTTGACAATTATTAAAGGATGGTTGACTACATTATATTATTAAATTTACCAACTTTCAATCTAGAAAATGAAGTTTATTTACCGTACAGTTGATCCCTAATCTCTGTGCAACTCAACAGCTACATTGAACATCTATGTAGTCATAGCATTTACTTCTGGAAACATCCTAAATATCTTATGACAACAATCCCTGAACACCTAAACAAATGTTAATAACAATGAACATCTCAAAACTTTAAACGAATGATGTGTACTATAATAGGCTAGCCTAAGCAGATAGAAAACACCTTCTCACTCAAGCGTGAAGGCCGAGCACTCACATAAATGCTCCTATAAACATAGCAATAATAGGTTTAGAACTATCCGAAATACATCCTTAATATACTGCTTAATGAAATGACACATGAATCATCCTTACTATATCTCTAAGCATACCGAGAAACACCCTCTGAAGCACAATTATACTTGTTACTTAAAACATCAAAGTATAGCCTGACGTTTAACAGCGATATTGTGTAAAACTTTCTTACACGGCTAAACTAGAGAGGGCGACAGACGTAAATAATATTAGGAAGTGAACTTGGCATTAACAACAGTATTAAAAGATCTTCTGTGTTGCTTGAAGGTGCTGATGTTAGTTGCTTGACATTTCGAAGGGGAACAGAGGCACAGACAAATGACTGACATCTATTAAACTCTGTTGAATGTTGTGACGTTAAAACAGAAACTGAGGATGATCTCAAGGTCCTTTAGCTGCCACATATATAGTATATTGATCAACGAGATAGGCAGCACTGGTCTGCAATCACACAAAACCTTTTATATGCCCTTTGCTTGCAAGCAAAACTTAAGAGAATTAAATAGTCCAGCCTTAAAGCCCTAATATTTCTTTTGTATAATTTTTTTTTGTCATTTATTAGATATGAATTTAACATGCAGTATTTTGTATCAATGTGTTTATGTATTTGGAAAACTCGGTGATAATATTGTAAAGTAGCAGTGAAAATCAAAATCAAAACACAGGCTTGACCCTTTCTATACAGTTCTATATTTCATTTTATACTACTATTTTTTCAGGAAGACTAGCAAGAGTGACTGACATAATCAGTAATTTGGATAGAGTGTGATACAGAAAAAAAACTCTACAGTATAGAGATTTCAGTTTGACGAAGCATGCAAAACTATCATAGATATTCAACTGTATTACCAAACATTAACATTGTTTACATTTATTACAATGGTCTGATCTCAATGAGGCTCTATCCATGAAAAAGTACTTTATAAAAAAAATAGGGGGTGGAGGAAGGGTGTTTATTTGTCATTAAGTGTTGATTAACATTTTTTTTTATGTCAAGGTTGTTGACTCAGGACTAAACTTTCTATTTTGATATGAATAAAAAATTGTTACTGTAGCAGTAATTGTTAATTCCAGGAGCAATTTACAGAAACTAAAGGTCAAAAATAACTTATTACATTACAGGCAATATAAAGTTCAATGACATAATACTAGTATTGTCTGGTAGATAAATTATGGTTTCCCAAATTGCCTTAATATAGTTTAATCCTTATTTATAACAAAAATTATATCATGTACATATTATATTAATACATATAAGCCAATATACAGTATATATTGATTGAATTGCTAACAAAATTTGATATTTTATTTTGAATGGTTTCACGGATATGAATATTTTTTAAAAATCTTAATATTGGCCAAATTCCTTATACTTTTTTAAAATACTGTATGTTATTTAATAATAATAATAATAATAATAATAATAATTATAATAAAATAATAAGAATAGTAAAAATAATAAATAACTTATATAGCGCCAATTTCAACTAAACCGAAGTAAAAATCAAATGCGCTTAACATTTTATAATAAAAAGGTGCGTCTTAAGTTTTGTGTTAAAACAGCAACTGATGGTGATTCAGTAATATGTTTGGGCAAGGAATTCCAAAGAAAAGCAGCTGAAAATAAAATGATCTATGACCAAAGGTGTTGGTGTTAATTCGACAAACAACTAAAAGGTTCTTATTATAAAAATGGAGGCAGGTACTGTAGGTCAAAAAGGTAAATGGGTTGTTTGTGAAAGTTCTTCGATAGTATATGCTCAGTGGCTAGGGTCCCTAAAAACAATAACATAGCCTGGTAGATTAATTATGGTTTCCCAAATTGGCATAACATTCTTAAATTTTTATTTTATAACATAATTATGTCATGTAAGCTATATATAAATACACATAAGCCAATGTATATATTGGTTGAGATAAATTGTCTACACAATTTTATATATTTTATGAATTGTTTCACTAATAGGAATAATTTTTGTATTATTGGCTAAATTCCTTATAATTCAACTGGTTGCTTACCTTTAAAATAATTACTGTAATTTATTTAAGTATAGGCCCAGTGGCAATCCCTAAAACTTATTAAAACTGGAAATTTAAAATCAAATTCAATGAGCTACTGTTTTTTAATGTGTTGCGATGTACCTTTGTTTAATCTGTGTGGTATAAAAAAAATATTCTACAAGCAAATTTTTAAGAATTGTAGTGATATATGCTACAGTATATGACAAATACACACACAGGCTTATCATGTAGGTCATTTCAGAAATATTGTTCTGACTATATAACAGATTATGATATGTTTGAATTGATTATCGCACTGGAAATGATACGTATTGAAGAAGTTGTAGAAGGCTATTTTTTAAAACATATAGAATTTCAATATTTGCACAATTATTGTCTTGTGCATTTTTCAATTTTAATAGTAATATTATAAAAGCAGGTAAAATTCCCCTGCTTGCGGTCCTCTACCCTTGTGCCTTTAAATTTAGATATAAAACCTAATTTAGCACTATGAAAGCAAGCATAATTTCAGTAAAGGATACTACTACTACCACCAGTCGTTTATATCTAAATCTTGAGGCTCTTAGTGTTAGGCCTCAGTAGACCAGCCGTAGGCCTAGAGTAGGCTAGGTACTACTGAAGTTACTAGGCCTAGCCTAGGCGCACTTACAAAATTTTACACAAAATAATTATGATATTGTTGTACATTTGCTGTACAGTGCAGAGACTCTGTACTTGTTACGACACATTGGATAGATGAAGCTAAATATTTGCTTTTAATAAAGAAATCGTCTATGAAAAGAAATAACAAAAATAACCGTAAATGCGATTGATTATGGATTATAGCCCTCCTTTCTCTATATTCCTGGGCTTGGCCTCTTGGCATTTAAATCGCGATTTTGAGCGAGCCAAATGGCCGAGCGATTAAAGCAGGGGCACCGTGATCATAGCCAACAATATCGGCACGGGTTCACGGCCGGCTCGCTCCTATAGTTCTGGTGGTGGAACAAGTCTTCTCGGATAAGGACTATAAACCGTAGGCCTAGTGTACACAAATGCTCATGTGCACTTTAAAGAACCCAGTACATCTTTCGAGATGAGTAGGGGGTTACCCCGGTGTACTGGTTCATTCGGCCCCTGTCGTGGACAGATGAAAGTGCTTAGCAACCCAATGAAACTATCGACGAATACGTCACAGCTTTAAGAAAGTTAGCAAAGAAATGTGACTATGGTGTTATGGAAGATGAAATGATCAGGGATCAGTTGATTGGGTATTGTTCCTCTAAGAATTTGAGAGAAAAACTTTTAGATAGACGAGATTTAACTTTAGCCAGTGCTTTGAGAATATCACGATTATATGAAGCTGTCCATAAAGAAGCGGCACAGATGAATGCTGATAACAAGGTTAACAGTGTTCAACATTATAGAAACCCTAGAAAGTTTAGTCATCAAACACCAGCAACTAGACCTAGTAATGACACAAATCCGTGTTATAGATGTGGACATCGTGATCACTCACCAGATGGGTGTGGAGCTATTAGAACAACATGTTATAATTGTCAAAAGAAAGGACATTTAGCAGGTGTTTGCCGTCAGAAGAAACATGTTCACACAAGATCCAGAAACAAAGGTAAAACACATACGCATAAGAAATCGTATGCTAAGGCCAATCCTAGAGGAAAGCCTGTTAGAAATGTCATGGACAGAAATTTGTCTTCAGATGTAGATTCATATGATTATTCAGAAAACACACATTATGTGAAAACAGCACATGATGCATCTTCAGACACCGACTTTGATGAACCATGTTTAAGTGTACATGTAAACAGCATTCATCCTGAGTGCAGTCACAGTGAAATTGAACAATCAGAAAATAAGAATGGTTGTTGACACAGGATGTGAACGTAACATAATTAGTTCTGAACGGTTCAAGAAATTGTACCCAAAGTGTCAACCGAAGTTGAACCATACTAGTAAACGTTTTATAGCTTATGGTCAAGCTAATCCATGTTTGGGATATTTCCGGACACAGATAATCTGGAACAAACATGTTTTGGAAGACAAAGTGTCTGTGATTGAAGGAAACATAGATGCTTTACTCGGAAGAAGAGCAAGTTTAAAACTTGGTATCATACAGCTATCTCCAGATGTAAATAGAGTAACAACCGATGACACAGAAAGCATGTCACGACTAAGAGAAGAATATGATGACATATTTTGTGGACTAGGAAAAGTCAAAAATTATAAACACAGTAACAGTCAATACAGCAGT